TGGGGCGCTGGATTTGTAATCTGGAGGTCCTGGGTTCAAATCCTCCTCCCTGCCACTAGATGAATTTGTGTTTGGTGGTTCCAGATTCAACTCCTCCACGCTTCGAAAATAGCCAACTGGTCAGCCCCCAACCAGTTGGAATTTTTAACAAGTTTCTCTTTAATTTTCGTTATTTATTTGCTTATTTCAGTGTCAATGCACAATTAGTACTGCTGTACTAAACACTTCGACACTTGGTGGTGTATCTAAGTTATATTCAAGGATACTTCTTCAACAGTCTTTCCTAAAGAGTAGGAAGAAATAAGAGCAGTTTTGAAAATATAATATACATAAATACGTTTAATTCAAACTAACAAATATGACACAGGTCTAGCTGGCCATGGAGCAATAACAAATTCAAACGGAATCACTCATATTGGCATGCTTGTAAAAGTCCCAGAGAAACAGAATTCGCTGTAAAACTCGATCCTCGAAGGCATAAAGGAAAGGACCTTGAGTATTATGCTTGTATTTTAGGTTACCACCACAAATTAACGGACAAAGGATGAAAAAATTAAAGGATGTACAAACCTCTGTTATCGCCCGCCATATTTGTTTCCTCCGTAAGTCATCCGCTGACCCCATTAGTATCCTTTTGTTGGCATGGTAACAACATGTAGAACGTCAGATCTTCGCGTAACTGCGGTGATGAGCGTTTCATTATTTGGGACGTTTTAGGCTCGAAGAAACGAGACAAAATGACAACTAAAACTAAAACAACTGTCTCAGCTGCCATCGATGCAATCAATGAGGTTGCTTCACCCCTGGATTTTTCTTTCAAAGCTTTGGCGGAACTTCAAGGTTTGTTTATGTCTTTCGCCGTCTTCGATCTTCTCGTGTTGAGAGTTCAGCTTAGTAAGCTCCCAAGCTTAACTTTAACTGAAGACTTAAGCTTAAGCTTATAAATAGTTTGTCTATGAAACTTCTTTACAGATGCAATGGATGAAGAACCAAGGCCAGGCCCCCACAAAATTGAGGTAAACACAGCACAGCTTTGGGCAAATGTTCAAGTGTATTGGTTCTCTCCTGGGGTGGTGGGGAGGGGGAGAACTGGACCAATGTCTGGGTCTAGGGGTGCCGCCAGGGGTTTGAAATCCTGACCTTGTTTGGGACCAAAAGTTCACTTATATACAGGCTGGGAGAACTTTAATGTATCAATTAAATGCAGTCATCACAATCCACCTGCCCCCCACTCTCCTGGGCACACCCCAGGCATTTGACTAATCAATGCAGCCCAGGGGGTGGAAATCTGATATTAGTAGTTGATATAGGTGTACATATAGATTACCAGTGAGTTTATTAGAAATTGTAGGCATAAATTAATATCCTTCAAAGGACTGGCATCAAAGATCTATTCTTGACATCCAGTATAGGTGATCTTGTTCTAGCTGCTTCAGTTGTAGTGACTTGCTTTCAGTTAGTCCGCAGAGTATGTTATGGACAGGCATGGGTATTGTTCAATGCATTTTTGTGCCTGCCAAAATGTCAGGAACATGTAGGTTAATTATACAGTGGAACCCTGTTAATACGACCACCTTCGGGCCATGGAAAATTGGTCGTATCAACGGGTTGGTCATATTAAAGGGGTTCTTTAAATAAGAAAATGACTGACTGAGCTTTTTGGGGGGCCAGAATAAAGTGGCCGTATGTTACGAAAAATTGTCTAAGTCTAGTTCTAGAACAATCTAGAATCGGAAGTCATTCAGCCGTGACCAATTTGTATAAGAACATTCCAGAACATTCTGATCCTTATGTAATTACTCAGATTAGAGACTGTGTCAAACTACTAAATTTAGCTCCTAATAGAGGTTTCTAGAACTTTAAGCCTCATGTATATTAGAGCGAGAGTTTCTGCTGTAAGAGAGTTTGATTCAAATTTGAAGAAGCTTAGTGCTGTAAATTCGTGAAGTTATCTTACGGAAATAAATTAGTTTGTTGCTGTTACCGGCGATCCTGAGTTCTGTCTGGAAGCAACCCTGCTCTACAACGATACTTGTAACACTGTAAGAATAAGGTGGTCATATTAACGGGGTGGTCATAAGGCAGGCTTCCACTGTAGTCTCATTTGCAACCAGAGAAGCGTTGTGTGATGACCCTTAAATAACGGCTGCGAAAAAGACTAGGAACAAAATGAAAGTTATATAACTAACGTGATTGTGAAATTGAAGCCTAAAAAATTCAGGCTTGAACGTGACTCAAACCCATAACCTCTGTGATACCGGTGCAGTACCCTACCAACTGAGCTCAGTTGCAATTGGTAGAGCACTGCACCAGTATCGCAGAGATCATGGGTTTGAATCACGTTCAGGCCTGAATTTTTTGGATCATGTGTATTTTGTGCACCGATCTATTGGTCAACATATTGACCGACACTCGACCGATGTATCGGGCGACACATCGACCAACACTCGACCAACATGTCGTTCGACATATCGACCGACACGTGACCGACATATCGACCAAGATATGTTGGTCGACATATTGACTGACATATCGGTCGACCGATATATCGGCCGATATGTCAACCAACAGTGGTTGTCCGATTGTTGGCCGACATGTCGATCAATAGGCTACTGACATTCCGCTGATACTTCACTGATACTTGCATACTGGTGACTGTAGCCTGCGTCACAGACGTAATTTAACCTACGCTAGTAACTTCTGCTAAGCAGCGCAGATTAATCCCTGTTCTACCCCCCATTTCTCAGAGGCTTCTTTGTATAAACCTGGCATAGTCAATCAAACAAAACCGAACCAAAAATCAATCGAACTCGATCGAACCCAATCGGTCGGATTGTTGTTCAATTGGTTCAGTAATCGAACATAATCAAACTGGAACTGTTCGGTGAGTTTGATTAATCGATCTTGTGAACTCATGCATAGAAGACGGGAAGGGAATTACTAAAATAAGATATATACAAGGGAGTAATACAACTGGGAAAAAAATATAGCATACCAAAAGACGACAATAATATTATCCCCTCTTGAATATACCTAACCAAGAAGTACAAGTTAGAGTACATGTGGAAAACAAGCGTAGCCTCAGTAGAATTATTAATTAACAACAAGTATGACTCGTTGATAGGGCAAGGCTGAAACCCAGCCCCATTCCATACCAGAAAAATCAAAGGGACTATGCCAGTGAAGGCCAGATACCACGACAGCTATGGGGGTGTGAAAAAGTTGCCTAAATGTGAATTCACTTTTTTTGATTTATCTTGATTTTTGTCAAATGCTTGTGTAACTCTCCTAAATTTTAAGTTGTGAAGTAACCCCTCCCACAGGCAAGGAAATGTAAAAATAAAAAAAGAGCAAAAACATCAGTGGGATGCATGGGGAAATTCAAGACTTGCTTGTCATCAGTTCTACTTCAGCACCTTGTTATCCTTCATAGTCCTTATCCTCTTTCCTATTAAATGTATTTTGTGTATTTGGCAGTATTTCACTTGGGTGTCTTGCTTGACAATGACTAAATTTGTGGCATATGATCTGAACATAAAACCTTCAGAAACTTTCAAGGTTGACCAAAAAAGGATGAAATGTGCATGACTCAATATACATCTGACACTGGCACTCTAAGCTTTTGACTTCTATTATATGACAGTTGACCGACATACCAACGACAGTCGACCGATATTCCGCCAACAATCAATGGTCAACGTATTGGCCGAGTGTCGGGCACTATATCGACCGAGATATCTGCTGATAGTCAGTCAATACGTTGACCAACTCTCGGCCAATGTCTCAGCTGCTATATCGGTCAATATATTGACTGACATATCTTGGTCGATATATCAGCCGAGTGGCAGTCGATATGTCGACCAACATATCGGTTGAGTGTCAGTCGATATGTTGACCGATACATTGGTCGAGTGTCGGTCAATATGTCGACCGATACATCAGTTGAGGGGTGCACAAATTACACATGATCCAATTTTTTTTCAGGCTTTAATTTCACAACTGCTTAAGTTGTGTATAAATGCGATGATTAATCATGTCTTCATTTCTTTCTCCGCAGTTCAAATATATGATCTTTCATATATTCACTAATTTATTCTATTGGAAAGATCGTTAACAATAAGGCATTATGTACTAACTTTATCTTCTTTTCTTACAGAAAATTGAAGAATCTGGACATTACAAGTCAAATATGGTTCGCTTTTGCTATAATGCCATTTCTGATTATGAGTGCTTGCCTTCCACACTGGAACATTTTTTGGAAAACCCTCTAGAGCTGGCCTGGCTTGATTTATCTTTTAATGACCTCTCTTCCATTGATAAGGTAAGTTGGTTTACTTTTATGGCTAAAACAGTTTACTTTTGATTTCCAGTCTGTACTGCGCACTCTTGAGTGTTTCTTTCCATTGTGTTTTATTTCATGTAAGTCCTCACAAAATGTAACGTTTCATAACAACTTACCTGAAGCAAATTCAAAGTTTCATGCCAACTGCAATAATAATTATTGCAGTTGGCACGAAACTTTGAAATATTTGCTTCAGGTAAGTTGTTATGAAATGTTACATTTTGTGAGGCCTTACATGGAATAAAACACAATGGATGCAAAGGTAGCTTTATGCCTTGTTCTATGTTCTTATCACTATTAACCCCTAAAGGTATGACAAGGCCCCTGTCCTTTATATATGAGTCCCCCTTCTGGGACAAGAGAGGGCCTGAACTGGACTGCATGTATACCCTGTACCTTATTGGGTGACACAACTGGTTTTATTTCTGTTTTTCAGGTTCTGCTACAGTATCCAAAGCTTAAGATTTTGTACCTCCATTCAAACGCCATTGAAAAACTGTCAGAAATTGACAAACTTGCTGCACTTCCAGAACTTATTAGCATAACTCTGCATGGAAATCCCATTGAGAGCATTCCAGGCTATAAACAACACATTATTTCAACTCTACCTAAACTCAAGACTTTGGATTTTATACCCATTACAAATCAAAACCGCAGAGACGCCCAGACTTGGAGGGTCAAGTTTAGGAAGAAATAGTCTAATTGTTAGATAGTCGAGTAAGTAAAATTGGTTTTGAATTCATTTGCTGGCGATAACTAGTGTGCATATGTGGTAACCAAATGAAACTGTTAAATAAATATATCCTCTTACTGACTTAGGGACTTTTAAATTAAGAACTATATATGCCAGAGGTTCAGCTGAAGAGGTTGAAAGACAAAATGGCCTGCATAATGTTAAGTCAATATTTTCCTATGCAAAGCAAACTGCCTTTGAAGAGCTCAGTTGTAAATGATATCAGATTCTAACTGATGTTTGTGTAAAGACTGAATCTGCAAGTATTTGTATAATGTACTAAGCTTGTAAATAAAATTATTTTAATAGCTGACTTCATTAATATGTAAGTAAAATGATGCCATCAAATGAATATATTGACACAAAAATTTGTACTGAATTAATAGAAATTAGTCTGCCAGCTTCATTGACAATATATAATGAAAAATCAACTTCGTAAATGCCACAAAGCAAGGAACACCATATATATGTTTCCTTCCGGAAAATGTTTTTTTAAAAAAAAAAAAAAAAAAAATTTCCAGACGCCAGCACAGAACTAATCTAATTTCTCAAAAATAATTTTATGCATCAATGGACTCGATTAAAATCAACTTCCTCCCGAGTGTCCAGCTGTATTATCAAGAGTTTATCATCCGTTAGTATGAGTTAAGATGCAGCTCCAAAACACTCTGATAAATGAAATCATTGTCAGTGGTTTGCCTGGCCACCAAAAGTTGAACTGGTGGTAAAGAAAAGTTTCACTCATGCCCCAAAAAAGGTGTGTAAAGTGGGTGGAATTTGAACCTTTGACAACTGACGTCTCCTCTTAATAGTGTGTAACTGCCCTGCTGAAAAAAGCCCACCAATGGACCTGATTATTTCATTAAAAGAAATTAAACCACACCTCAATTTATCATGCCAAATTTAGTCAATATGTGAAGTTTCATTAGAATCGATAGCAACTCATAAAAATATGGGACCCCTAACTTGCCAATTTTTTACAAAGAAATGTATGCTGGGGAGGGGGGGAGGGGGACAATGCTTGCCCTCGGCAAACATTTGCTTGTGAGTTTGGAGTCCCATACATGTTATTCCAAAATGGCTGCCATTTAAGTATTCTTTTGTTTACTTGCAAGTTAGCCCTTGTTGCCTCGTTCTTAAAATCGAAATTCAAAAGAATATTTTCCCTTAAACAAGGCAACAAGGGCTCATTTCCAAGTAAACAAAAGAATACTAAAATGGCAGCCACTTTGGAATAAGGTGTATATTTTTACGAGTTTGCAACAGATTCTTATAAAACTTCGTAGATATTCTTAATTTGCCATGTTAAATCAAGCAGCACGTTTTTTAAAAGATGTTCAGCACCCGAAATTCTACCAACCAAGGGTAACCTTAAGGTGGTACAGGTCCTGTAGGTTTTGTCCTGTCCCTGCATTTTACCTTCAGTTGGCTTTTGAGTTGAATGTTTGCCAGAGCTGTTGAACCATTTACTTAAAATAAAGTACAGACTATTTAGTTGTAATTTTGTGGACGTCATTAACCAATCAAAATGATTTCAGAAATCTCTTTTTTATTGAAAATGACATTTTCAGTGATATCGTAAAACTAAATGTTACACTATTTTACATCAACGCAATCACACCTTAGAGCTATGGGATTGTGAATTTTGATAACACTGGTTACCATAAGTGCATCCACCCCTACATTACACAAGGTTTCCTACTAAAAATGTACTTACAGTCGCCAAATTGACCTATTCTTAAAATTGCCATTTTTTCTCATAAATCGATCAGTTAGGTAAATAGTATTATTGATTCTTCACAGAAGTATGAAACTGCAGTGACAAAATAATATTTACCCTGCTGTCAGTCATTGAAAAATATTAGTTATTTCTCCCTTCATTTCATTTGCATTGTACTAAATATCCTGTCTGCTTATGATGTCTCAATACTGGTTTGGCTTAAGGGAGCTGTGTCAGAGATTTTAACTAAATTTAGACATTAAGAAAATGGCCACTAAATTAAGTGAAATATAAAAAAATAAATAACCACATAAAACAGTGAAGGAACCTTTCAATAACACAGCAAATACAAAAGGTACTGATGGACAAATTGAAGAAGATTAAAACAGATTGTGATATAGGTTTTTGGAAAACTTACGCTGAACAGTTTTCAAAGTTAATCTTGTATTATAAATGTTATGACCAGGAGAGAGATGTTTGTTTGTTATGAAGTTATTGTTTTGTCATTTATAGATCCATAGACTGAAGTTAAGTTTCTTAATAGTTAGTATTAGTTAAAACTCAAAAATATAGACTAACTTCAGCTGTGGCACAGTGTCTTAACCACTTGATTGTAGGAATTGAAAGGTTACAAGGTAATTCTTACTGAAGTAAGTACATTATTGCAATCCAAAATGATTGCACCACCGACTGCATCTGGATAATCAACTGAGTGCTACCTCTTTGAATTTTTAAATACAAAACTAAATAATTGAAACTTTAAACATTAATTGACAGTTAGAATAGCAGCTCTTTCACGGCTAATATTTCTAATTTGAATTACAATGCAATCCAATGTGAATTTGCCTCACACACATGCTAAATTTTATTGTAATGCAAATGAGCAAAGTTAGCTGTGAAAAGGACTATTACAACTGAAGGGGTGTGTGGAAAAAGATTCTCCTTGCAAATTGCTTTTCGCTTCCTTCTGTGAACAAGGAGAATTTAATATGAGATCAAAAGTCACTTGGGGCTTTTTTCCACGCACCCCTTCAAATGAAAATCCATTTACCTAAAGACCACCAAACTAGCTAACAAAATAACTTGCTCAACTGAAAGTCATGGCAGTCCAGGGGCAGATCCAGGATTTTTCTAAGGACGGGGTGCACCACTAAGGAATGGAGTAACTGACCGGCAAGGTAAACAAATTTTAAAAGCAAATACAAAGAAGGCTTCATCTCAGGGCGCTGTGCACACCCCTGCACCCTTCCCCTGGATCCTCTCCTGCAGTCTGATACAAAAAGGAAGATATATATTACTTAGCAACAAGTTGCATAGCAACAGTGATGACTACCAAGCCATCCCATTGGATTTTGCTTCCTAACTTATACGTAATGCTTTTCTTAACTTCCATTACAGCTCGTAAACTGGCTGTATTATTATAACCAAACATTTTGATGTATGTGTATTGTTTT